CCCTCAAAAACACTCACTATACAACTGTGGGAGCAAATGATTTGGGCAGAATTTTCCAAAGAATCCGCAGTATGCGATTGCAGTTCCTCACCAGGCAGCCAGCCGGATGGTGTTTGTATTACACTGACACAGAACTGGAGCATGTCTGTAGTCAAACCTTGCAAAATATTCAGAAGCTAATGTTAATATTTCATTGAATAACACCAGATGCATGTTTTCATCTACTACAACATTCGTAGTTTTATTATGATTTAAAACAAATTTTGTCTCTCCCTTTTTTTTTTTGTGCCTCCTTTGTTATATTTCCCAATTATTTTGTAACTCCTTAACCTCCATTCTTATTACCTGTTAACTCTCAACTCAATCTGTCTTTCGGAATTGAACAGCAACTGGAATTCCTGTTCCAGGGCAATCTGAAAGGGGTTTCTCCCGGAGAACAAAGTAAATGCATTTTTTAAGTACCCACAAAGATAGAAATTGAGAAATTTGTTTAGAAATCTTTGAAGCAGGCCATGGCCCGCACAAGTAGCAGATACACTGAAGAGAAGACCAAAAACGGCAAAGAAGCCAGTGGCTCCAGAGGGTCCTGAGGAGCTGTGAGGCTGCATTGCCACTACAGGGTGAGTCAGGGCTCCTGGGGCTCCTCAGGGTCTCTGCAGCAGGAGCTGCTGATAGCCATCTGCACCTTCTGCTGTGGAAATGCACACCGCAAGGGAGGACGAAAGGAAAAAAACCCACCCCGTTTCGCACAGGGTTGATAATTCATCCCCATTGGGTACCAAGACTAAGGTTTCTTTTTAAAGCCATTTCATTTTTCAGCTTGCTATTGCTGCCTCCTAGTTTCAGCATGCGAAGGGGCTGCTTTTCAATGTCGTACAAACAGTGAGGTAAGAACATACCTGGGGTTTCCCCACTGAAGGGAAGCAGGGTGAAAAGAACGCAGTTCTTTTTGAAACAAGGGGCAAGGGCTGGCAAGCAGCTCAAACCGTGTGGGCTGCTAATTGCATGGCAGTTCCTTTTATATTATGCAACAGTGTTGCCCAAAAAGACAGCAAGGTACCATAAATGGGGTGCTGTGGGAGCGTTGATCTGCTTGAGGGTAGGAAGGCTCTGCAGAGGGACCTGGACAGGCTGGATCGATGGGCCGAGGCCAACTGTATGAGGTTCAACAAGGCCAAGTGCTGGGTCCTGCACTTGGGTCACAACAACCCCATGC